TGGTCATTCTTTCGACTGACGATGTTGTGGACATGGTCGACGACCGCCAGACATATTGCACATGAATCTGGGACATTCTTTGTCACTTCTTATGCCAATCACATCGTAACATCGTGCCCGCCACAGAGCACCCACCACCACCACGGGCTTGCGTTATTAACTAGTATGTCTTCCAAGCCAAAACCAAGCAAGGCAACCGGGGGGTGGGCTTTAAGGGCTTTTGTTGTCTGATAAGTTAGTTGATGCTCGCCTCGAATGCCGGTATGCCCCTGGGAAGAGTCCTGATTACAGATGCAAGCTACTGATACAGCCTCCCTTCGTGTGGGAACCAAGTGACTATTTCGGAGTACAATTCTCCGTTCAGCTCCGTTCAAAGAGCGACAACCATCCTGTGCCCGAAGCCGGGGTTGTATTCCGTACATTTTGTGCATTTTGCCACCCTCAAACATTATCGCCCTTTCTGAGAGAAGAGACGACAAGGGCTGTGGCACGCGGGACGTACGGAGTATCTGTCCCACTGGCCCAGTGGGCATTTTTGAAACGACGTAACTATTACTCCGTACCCAAAAGTTTTTCGAAGGTGATCGCCGGATCCTGATCAAATGACTTCCTCTCTGGAAGTACCACGTTTGCTGCAAAGAGCAAGGACTGTTTTCTTGTATCAAGGCCACAGCCTCCTCCTCCTCCTCCAGTTTCTTACCGGGTCTAGAGAGACCACTCAAGAGAATACAAGCTACCAACCAGGACGCAGGTGCTCCGCAAGTCGGCGGCGAAGCCAAGGTTGCATCCACAGTATGAAGACGGTTCACAGACAGCAAGCCAAAGTAAGATAGTGTTCACGAGTACTCCCGTAATTGCCTAGGGAACACACAATTTCGTATAAGACGAAAACCATGGATACAGATGACCAATCCGTGCATACAATTCCGAGTCTTTTCCAACAGTGTTGGACATTTGGGTCAATTCGCGGCTGGCTGACCTTCACCGACACAAGAGTCCTGACTACATTGACGGTCAGATATGGGTCAGCAAAAAGTAGAGTGAGGGCTGCTGGCGTGATGTTGATGGATCTGGGGATGCCAGCAAAGACCATCCATCCATTCCCGCATCCTTGCAAACATCATTTGTCCTCCTAGAAGATGGGTGAGCTTTGATGTCAAGTACTCCATAACTCTGTCAGCAATCTTGTAGTTATTTGGCGCGCTGACGTAGACATATGGCGCCTTGGCTCGCTTTTGGGCACGGAGTTATCGGGGTCGATGGTCACATCTTGAAAGGAGTACGGCAGGCCATGGCAAAATCCAATGACGAGAAGTCTCGCCTTGCCATCTCATACCAATGCCGCTGCCGGGTTTCTCATACGAAAGCATACGCATTCAACACACAGGCCCCATTGCACACTGCGGGGCTGTGAGGACCGGTTGACACCAACAAAATGATGACGGAAGGGGAGGGCGTTGGTTATCCGAAGATCAGACCTCCCGCCGGCTTAGGCCTCTTCTTGTCCAGAGAAGCGCTGGTGAAACCTAATTAAAGCAGATTGGGGCTTCCCCTCCAGAATTCCCGGCCTTCTCATACTTTTTTTTATTTGGGTTTGGGTCCACGGACGCTTCCAACTTGACTCACCTGCAGATAGCATAGACACTACGACATCCAAGCTGCTTGTTGTGCGGAGTGCCCTGGCCTTCACAAAGGTATTTGCTTGCAGGCAAGGAGCAATGTACCTCGGCGTCGTACCTCGACGTGTGAGGGTAGCCTTTGGATCATCTAATATCACTTTGTCGTGTTCGCGATTCAGCACTTTTTTTTTTTTTGTTTTCATCGACTTGATCCATCTACGGCCACTGGAACCCAGCTGTCGTGTGATGCATGAAGCAGACCCATGCGTTTGGTCGCCCTTTCAGCGACTGAGTTTGCCAAGGCAACTTCAACCATGGCCTTGCAACCCTGAGGTCGTATCAGCGGGGGGGGTTTTGATTGGCTGGTACGGGCTAGGTGGGCGTTGTGACTCCTTTCGTTTTGCCTCATCTGATGAGGAATGCAGCCTTTTTCACCATGACGGCGGACAGCCACTGCGATGTGACTCTCAGACCCTCTCTGACAGACACTGTCGTGACTGTGTCCCACAAAACCGGGTTCGAGACATTGATCACCACCAGATGTGTCTGTGCCGCCATCGATCACCCTCTGCCATCCGGGCGAAGGCTGCACGCCGCATGATAATAACTGGCACACACGTCCAACTTCCCCGGATCCTGGACTATGAATCTCGGTTGCAAAGGGGCCGCTGCGCTCCATTGGACCTTGGTGCGACTGTGTGAAATCCAAGAAGTAAAAAAAGCCATTTGTTGCACAATCACTTTTGTTGGCGCTAGCAGTCTTTCGGGTCAAAGACCAAATCAGAGAGCACAGATGGTTTCAACGTCAGCCATGGTCGCGGGCGAGCCAAAGCAGTACGTAGTGATACAGCTTTTTTTTAAGGACAAGGTTTCCCTTTTGTTCCGGCTACACTGGGATGATTGATACCTTGTATGTTAACGGATCACAACCATTCGGCATCGTGTTGAGCCATCACGGCGCTGGCGATACACCATGGCAAGCTGTTGGCATCGAGAAATACAATCCTCCCATGCCTTCTCTTCCCGTTGTGAAACGGGTGCACATACATTCTCACGAATGGAGGAGCTGTGTTGGGATTGGTCTCTACTTTTTGGCGGGACATGGCGTTGATATCTTGACGAGCTGCATAACGGAACCTTTACCTGTCATATTTAACGTCTTTCCGTCTACCGTGGAGCAGTTGCTTTTGATCCCGCCGAGCGCAGGTTGGCGACGCAATACGCAACGCTTGGTACACTTTCGTGTAGGTCGGACCCTCAGAGTTGCACTGGTGATGAGAGCCATACCGAAATCATGGTCATTGCGGGAACAGGCCCGTACATGGCCATGCGCCGCTTGAAATGACAGTACCGGGCCAAAAACTGATTTTGTTGTTGGCCGACGTCGTACGCCACAAGCCCTGCAATGGTTTGGCTGCTGGTCGGGTCGTTCGAGGGCAAACAACGCAAGACGTCCATCATATGAGTAGTGGTCTAGAGTCTAGACCACGGTTTTAATATTCACTGCCCGTTAACAAAATTAGATATTGGCCCACCTCATAGTCATTAGGTCGGCGACATTCCAGCCCATGGTGAGATGCATGAGCTACCCTGCACCGGTACCTAATATGTCATCTCCATCATGTCTGTCCCAAAGCAAATAATAACTTCCGAATCTCGAGGCTGGACCTCGAGACTTGTTTCAATACTCGCCTCGTTGCAAGCCAAATCCAACCAATATGAAGACCAGCGTGTCGTCCCTCTATTCCAACCAAACAGTTGCCGAGAGTATCGGGAAAACGCTCCCGGACATGGACATACCTTGATACCCGATAGAATTATCATGCCCGGGTTGAAAAGAACCACCTCGTCTTTCTCGGGCACGTACTCGACGCTCGCACGGGCACACGCAGCTGGGAAACGACGGAGAAGTAACCGGCCTCAAGTCGTCGAGGGAATGAATATGTGAAAATGCCGGGGAACGCCTTTGAGCGCCTGGGCGTTGAGAATGTGAAAACAGTGGAGGATGACGCTGTTGAACCGTAAATATATTCGAGGTTCCCCTCCTAGGAATCCCCCCCCTTTTTCCCCAACATATTTTCTTTCCATGAGGTTATTGTGTTCTGGCTAACTGTCTATGGAACGTCTCCCAGGCCCAAGAAGCTGTCAGTCGAACAAATACGACATCACCAGATCATCATCGACAAGGTGTAATCGTTGCAGACAACGTCCTTCGCCAAGATCTCGTCAAGAATGACAAAGGCTGCTCTTTGCGGTTAGTTGCGGCGTAGATACGCGCGGTTCTCACGACGAGACAGGACAATGGGCGTGTGCCATGTTGAAGCAGCCGGAAGTACGGCTTGCACAAATGAATCCGCCTTGACATCATCCATTTTTAGAGCAAACAGGGCACGCAGCGAGACCTGCCCATCACGGCCCACTGGGGCGACAGGGTATTTTAGCATCATTGCCAGTCACGAGAAGGGTGCATTTCCTCGTTTTGCGGTTGACAGCTTGGTCTGTAGCACACGTTATTCCTGGAGGGAGTGGCGCAGAACAAGTGTCCGCTTGGAAATCCATGGCACCCCCGTCCTTTTTTTAGTCACGAGCCGCAGCTGAATATTCGCAAGTGTTGCGACGACGGTTGTTTTCCTTCTGTCGGGTCACCGGCCTAGATGGAAACGATTAAGACGTAGCACAGGCTGACCGCGCATGACTACCCAAGTAATTTCACGCCTGAGCCCATGGCCAATACAAGGCCCACGACTAAGCAAAGGAAAAGAAAAGAAAGAGTCTCATGTATTCTTTCGGTGTTTGGATACATCCATCCATCCGAGGGGCCCGCCTCTGCAGCTCCCTACGTCACACAACACCCGGCTGCTCATGATCCACGGACCGAGCCAAACAACTTCCGTCACTGGTACAAATTAACTACTCCGTACAGAGCACAGTAATAAGTCGCCCAAGTCTCCGGCTCCCTCCCGGGGCTGTGCCGTGAGGCTGTCGGGCAGATATGACCTCACCCACCGCCCTCTCCCCTGCCTGTTGCCTTGTTTTTTTCTTTCTCTAATTACTTTCCCTTGCCTTTGTTTCCTTGTTTGCATTCGAGTCGCACGGCACTTGCAGCTGACGATTATTGGGCCTTTTCCCCCCCCTTTCTTTTGTTTTGTGTATCGTGCAAGTTTGACACCTTTACAAGTTGTGTTGTGAAAGCACACCCACGAGCAGGGGGTGAGTGACTTGGCCATAGACAGCACGGGCTGTTCCTGGGCTCGTCTTACCTTTTATTCGGTTTGTTTTTTGTAACATCGCCGTGCTGGCTATTGTCTGGGGTCTTCTTGCGGGCAAGCTCCTTTTTTGCCCTCCTAACACTTGTTGTCTACGGAAACCTTCACGGCGACCATGCAGAGACCACGGCCGCCGTCGGCGTCGACTTCACCACACTCCCATGCAGGTCCAGAAGGCGTGCCTGGATCGGCGTCCCGCGCGAGATGGCACATGTCGCGGTCGCGGTCCCGGACGCCGTCGCAGTCCCGCTCGCCGTCGAGATCAAGACGCAGCGCGTCGCGGCCGCCGTCCAGACACAGCTCCAGGGACTCGTGTCGCCGCGTGCCCTCGCAGCAGGAGAAGGAGCACAACCGGGGCAAGCTCATCAAGGACTCGGCCGGCCTGCTGCTGGGCATCGGCGTGGCGGCCGTTGTAGCGCACAAGTTCTGGCCAAAGGGCATGCTGTACGGCGCCAAGGAGGAGTGGGAGACGCGCCTGGACAAGGCCAGGGACAAGGTGCTTGGGGTCCCAAGCGACAATGGCCATGGCCCAGACGTCCGTCGGCGGGAGAGGGGTCGTAGTATTAACAGGGACAGGGCTTACCACTACGAGAGCGAGAGACTGGCCGTGGAACGAGGTCCGGTTCCTCCCTTGCGGAGGAGCACAAGTTGTCGGGAACGAGTTCCCAGAGCACGAAGCTTGGGACCGGTCCGGACGCGAGTCTACCAAGAGGCTGTTGACACCGCGAGGTGGGAGAGACTGGGGCCTGGGCACCATCAACAGGCTAGAGGTGAGCCATCGTATGCCTCTGAAGGACATTCTCATCTACCATATGTTGATTTGGAGCACCGGGCTCGTCGTGAAGATGACTTTATTGTAGTGGAGAGAGACTTGCCGCGACATGGTGGCCGTGGGTATAGATGATGAGACGATATCTTACGATTAACCCCCCCCTTTTTTTTTCACGCTGTTATATTAGCTACTTACCGCTCGATACCCGTCTTGCACTTGCTCGCTGTTTCGAAAAATTCGTAGTGGACCAGCTTCATATTTGAACCAGAGATCTAGCTGATTTCCATGTATCCAACTTTATTTCTTGTGTGAATATCCCCTTTCTATATACATTGCGACGCTATCAAGATTTGCTCCATGTCATTATTGCACCGCCAATCCTTGCCATTATAAAACCATCTCTTTTTCCGGCGGCGGAGCAATTCCCTGTTGACTGTACGGAGTTTCTGTTCCAAGAACGCCGCCCTTCGTGTGTTTGGCAACAGCGTCCTGCCAAAGATCACCCCCAGTGCGCATCACCAGGCCAGTGGAAAGGCAGTCGCCAAAGTACTGTTCCCGTCGCGTGCTTCTTCGCTCGCTACCTTCAAGCGCCGAGTACGCACTTCTCGTATTGCGCATGCGCTTCCTTGTTCCGCCGTCACTCAAGATGTGGCTTAGCTTTAGCCTTTCTTGCATGAGCTGATTCTCAAAGGCCACGATGCCGCGAATCCAAGGAGCAACATCCAGAACAATAAGCTGCATCGTACGGTCAAAGACAGAGGGCTCAAGATGCGAACTTGGTTGCGCCTTGGGCGCTACGGCTATTGGATCGAATGCGTGGGCCACGTCCATCCGGTTGACGCTCCTGCAAGTGTCATGGAATGACGACTCAAGCCTTGAGATGGCGCTAGACTCGTTAATTGCGCACAAACCGGCAGTGTCCGGAGATGGCTGTACGTCTTGCAGCCTTGAACGTAATTGCGCCCGAGCCTGTGATCGCAAGGTCATGGAAATCGTTTTGCTGGGCATGACAGGGTGTGTGTAGCCGTCTGCTTCTAACAAGGTACGCCCGATTATGAAGTCGTCTCTCGCCTTGCCGGTAAGATCAGGAAGCGACGGATCAACGGGCTCCTGCAGCCAAGTTGCACACATACCCGCAGAACAAATGTCAGCATCGCTCATTGTCTGGTAGAATTTTTCCAAGGCTTCGAGAGCCAGTGTTCTTTTGCCATCAGTTTCGGCCGAGTCCCATGCCGCTCTTACTACTGACCCCAGTTCATTGGATTGACACCAGTCGCCCATATCCACTTGCCAGAAGTTCCACGACTGTTGCAAGGCCTCGACCTCTTTATCGTACCTGTCGCACTCTGATATCATGACATCCCGTCCGATCCAGCCCATGCCGTTCTGGTACGTATCCTCACTAATCACTCGAACGACATCACCGCGATCATCCAAGTCGCAACCTTTGGGCCACCGGTCGTAAAACCAGTCTAATCCCCCCTTGCGATCACCCACTCCAATTTGACACCAGAAGTTAAGATCAGAAATGGTGGCTCGTAGGTCGCGATCACGAGCTCGGTATAGGGACTCAACGGCGGATCTCTGGAGACTATGTCCTTCATTTGCGGCAATGAGGAGACACAGATCCACCGCAAGAGGCTCCGGTGCTGGCATGAAGCGAAAGATCCCATGGAGGTTTAGACTCTGGAGCGGGACTAAGCTCTCATCATTGCAAGTGATAACGAAAGGTCGCCGCGACTGATTCATCATGCCCGTCAGGACTGCCCAGAAGTGCTTGTCTTCTTCATACAATATATCCGCTTCTTCAATCAGAATAAGAGACTGTTTCTGAGCTTTCGAACTTGGCTTTTGAGTTTGACCACCCATGGCTTGCTTTGGCCTTGCTTTTGCCTCAGGCGCAGCCTTTGCTTTGAAGAACGCTGTCATCCTGCCCTGTTTGCCAGACTTTGTCGACTCCTTGCCTTCATAATCCAGCCCTCCATCCACTGATGGCTGCTGAGCTCGGTGCTGTTGAACCAAGTGATTTCGCGTCATATCGCCAACCCTTTCGAGAACATCCTTGCCACTTCGCCGGGCGCCTGAGTTTATCTCGAATATTTCAAAGTCAAGCTCCTTCGCAATGGCGTACACAGCAGCGGTCTTGCCACAGCCGTTTGTGCCACTAATGACAATGCTATTCCTCAGTTGTCCCGGTTCCTTGAACTTTGCGCCACCAGCTCGAACGACGGATTTTAGGCATTTGTCAGAGCTGTCATCCCCTTCTCCATCGCTTCCAGAGATCTCTTCCAGGTCACTCACTTCCTCGTCAGTGTCGACGATGAAATCGTCCACTTTGTTCTTCCTCCTCTTTTTCTTCGGTAGTGACTCAGCCTTTGATCTACCCTTGTCTCCGGTCACATCACCGCTACCAGTTTCGACTGATTGAACCTTCATTCCTTCTAACCATTGTTTTATGTGAAGGGCATCCTTGGAATTCTGAAGGACTTGTGCTGCTGAGACGGGTGCGTACTTTTGATTCCAAGAGGATCCTTCACAGGTAGACCTGTCGTATGCCGATAGGTGTGTCCCTAGGGAGATGTAGTGGCGGCTGATGGCTGGATGAGCTAGCATTGGCGCTGGCCCTGCAAGTTCGTCGAAACACGGATCTTCTATTCCTGCCAATGCTAGTGGTGAGGTAATTGTGAGTTGACGTCGTATTCGACGTTGTAATTTTGAACCGCTCTCACATCGCTTTTGTGGAATGCGGAGCTCCGCAGGGGCAGGGTTGAAAGAGTCGTTGTCCTGCGGCAAACTATGGCGCAAGCCTGCGACGTCTATTCTATCGACAACAGCAGCCAGCACCGATTCATTTGGACCGATGGTCGTGACCTGTCCTTTGGATTTCTTGTGTCCGCCTGTTTCGACCCTACATTCTGTGGTACAAGGTGGTCTGAAGCTATTCCCTCGAACATGGGACATGCCCTGGGCTGGCCACATGGGGTGCTTGGCACCAGGTACTTTGGTCCCTCTAGGCCGGACGCCAAATTGTGATATCGCCGCAGTATTTGTTGACGAGAATGGATTCCTCGGTCTCCTGGGAGACACAGGCGTTGACATAAATACTGTGTCCTTTTTGGCAGGCGACCTTGTTGCCGAATCTGTTGATGGAGTAGGTGCTGATGAACGAGGTTTCGGTTTGCCTGAGAAGAATGGGTGAGTCCCCTTGGTAGATGTGGAAGGTTTGGCGACAATATCACTGGTTTTGGTTAAGCTCTGATTTGATCGCTGCTTTGTCGGTGTTTTCGGGAGTTGTAAGCTGCCGTCTAAAACCCGAGTGATCTTCTCTCCAATTTCACTCCTGGATTTTTCATCCCGACCATATTTGATACAGACTATGAGGGAGCGCTTAGATTTTTGTTTCGTCTTGGGCGGTGATCCTAGAGTGCCGGTTCTAGGGTTTAGTCTCAGTACCTTCTTTCCCTGTGATGGCGCATTTCGTTCGGACTGGTCAATGCTGGTCGTTGGCAGAGCGCACTGGGTGACATCCTCGAGGGGTTTGTTTGTCATAATGGAGGGAATAGACAGGTGTTGTAGCTCATATTGGTTTTCCGTTGATATGGAAGTGTCCTGTTCGGTAACCTTAGAAGGCGGAAGGAGTTGAGAGGGGCCGGAAAGAGGGCGAGTGAGAGCAGCTCCAGGTGCATCAACTGCGTGGCTGAGTGGTTGAGTGCCTGAATTTCTCTCATATTGAGATGCTAGATTTTCTGACGCATATTTCCTCGCAGGATATCCGTCGCCTCCAGCATCAAGCACGGGAGTGGAAATGTCGCTACTGTCAAGCCGTGTGTTTAATGTATGATTTGACGTCGAAGTGGTCGAGATCAGACCAGAGGCCCCGTTGGCGAAGAAAGGGTGCAGCTTTCGGGATGACGGTTCACCAATGCCACTCTGGCCCATGTTTCCTACCAACACAGGTCCCATTTGACGTGTAGTGACTCGTTTTCTAGCCTTTCAGCAAAGGGCGATGTTAGCCTCTTGGGCAAGGTTCTGTGCGCTCACTCCATACCTGTTTAACTTATCTTATCCACAGCATCGCAAACAGCCCAGATGAGTACCTTTGGGAAACCTGATTATCACCATGCCATAGTGTGATTTGGCGACCTTGCTAAAAAGTTGAGATGTGATGTGCTGGATCTAAAATTGATGGTGGAAGTTGCGATGGAAGTGTCGTGGTCGGTTGTGGAACCGCGACTTGCTACTTACTGGCTTGTAACTACCAGAACGCGTCTGGAGGAGACGCGCCCTGGGCCACTTAAAGGGTATGTGCCTCAGGGGAAGTCGATCGGCCACACACTGGGACTGCGTATCTGACCCCACCACTCGCACTTTCCTTGTTCTACCAGCCCCACTCCCGGATTTTTGTATCGGGCCGCTGCCAGTATTTTTTTTTCTGGCTCGGTTTACCAATTATACAAATCGCTGCACCAGGTCGCCGCCGCCGAATATTCCCCCCATTGATAGAACAAAGCTCTGCTGCACGCAGAAGCGGACGTTTGCGATGGCATCTGAATACAAAATTCATCGACCATATGTGGTGGCCACTTTGCCCCGCCCTCTTGACCACACTGGCGGTCGTATTGTTGCTCGAGAGGTCTACGGTTTACGGACTGGCCAGAAAAAGAAGAAGCGTATGGAATTAGCCGTTGGGGTTGATGGAGAAACAGCCAGTATATACGATGTGCGTATTCTATTACTCTACGGAAGCCTTTTGCGGCAACAAGCTAGCTAACAAGAATGACAGGTTCCTGCGTCGCGACTCATCACATCCTATCCCATCCCACCCCAAGAATCCTTCACCTGTGCTCCGTACTCTATCAGACTACGGCGGTCAGGCAGCGACGATGTGCATCGGTATACATATATTGCTACAAGAGATGCAAAGTCGTACAAAATTACACTGTTCAAAGATGTCGTACATCCAGATGGCAAGACTACATCATCAACAACTTCTCAGACTCTGCAAGCATCGCCGATTCACATTACTAGCTCCTCCTCTACTACATCCTTATTATCGGATAGTACAGTAGGAGATGTCGTAGCTATCTGCGAAGATGGGCAAGTTGCTTATCTGTCAGGCGAAGACCTCAAAC